CAGGAAGGACGAGAGGGCACAGCAAAAAAGTTGAAAGTAAAAAGAGACGAGAAAGACATCAAAAAAGTTTAGTTTCCCAAACAGAACTACTGAAGCATGGAACAATCTTCCCAATAACGTTGTGCGTGCCAAAAATGTGCATCGATTTAAATAGTTCTATAATAATCTAATTGTAGCAGACGGAGCCATCTCAGCTTAGCTCTTCTCTCGTATTGAAACATTTGGTAAGAACAAGCATACACACATATATTTACACATAAACACACGCACACACACACACATATATATCTATATATCTATATATATATATATATATATATATATATATATATATATATATATATATATATATAGAGAGAGAGAGAGAGAGAGAGAGAGAGAGAGAGAGAGAACGTATGTGTAAACACACGCACACACACGCACACACACACACACACACACACACACACACACATATATATATATATATATATATATATATATATATATATATATATATATATATATATATATATGTTTGTGTGCATATGTTTCTGCGTGACATTGAAAAGTGCTTACCGTAGCAGAATCGGGAAGATAAGATGCTAATTCATCTCTCAGTTTCGGCAAATCTCTTCTCCTAATTTCTCGTAGTTTATCCATTATTATGTACCTGAGGAAAAGAAAACGGATTTTTTGTTTACTTTCGCGTCATGGCTTTTTTCTCTTTCTTACGCGTTTTGAATTATGAAAAAAGTTGAGTGTTATGTATCTTTTAAAAGTTCTCATTTTTTTTTGTATTAGGGAATTACTACAAATATATTCAAGTTACCCCGTAATGCGTTTTCTATGCACGCACTTGCTCTACTGGCAAGTATGTACACTAATGACACTCTCATACAAACTCTTAACTAAAAGAAGCACCTCACAAGGCATATAATTAACCTTAGTATAGGTTACAAAGTTTGCCTTTTCTCTTTTTCTTTGTCTCTCTCTTTCTCTCCCTCTCTCACTGTCTGTCTCTGCCTCGCTGTCTCTCTATCTCTCCTTCCTCCTCATCCTCTTCGTCCTCCCCTCTCTCTTTCTTTCTTAGTTTCTCTCTCTGTCTCTCCCCCCACATGTCTCTCTCTATCTCACTCCCTCTCCTCTCTCTCTGCTCTTGAAGTAATGTTCCACTAACTATCGATTCACATAAAACCTGTTCGACTCTATTTGACTCATTCGATGTAAAGGCAGCAACCCGTTTAGTGAGGGACAGAGAGCAGCACTCTTGTCTTGTTTTTTTCCTTATAAAGGTAAAAAAAAACTCTTTCTCGTACTTTTACTCTGGTGCTAAGATTTTGAGACCGGCAATATGTCCTAAAATAACACCCAGGAGATTATATTTGTAAATAATAAAATAATATGACATACATCTGACACTTTCCGTTTATATGTTAAGGATTTTGATTTTCGTATTTATTGTAAAAGCTGAACATTTATCAAAGTACTTTTTCGGTTCACAAATATTTCTATTTATGACTATATAAAGTCGGTATATCAGAACCTTTATAAAAATAGTAACCATTATGGGGGTCTGTCGCTATTGTAAAATGGTATTGAAATATATTGTCCACTAATTAATCAATGTACGCCTTGGTTGGTAGGCATAGCACTGTAAGTCGCTACTTTAAGGCGTTAAGAACAATATACATAGACCCAACTTAAATGCCATACGTAGAGTCAGTGAAGCAAGACTACCAATAAAAAAAAAACAAACCCACAAACAAATGAAGTAAATATTTGAAAAAAAAAAAACTGATGCAAAAAGTGTTACTAGCCCATTCGCGACGGGTAAAAATGAACAAAATATGAGGAAAATACTGTGCTCATTTTTTATATTCTTTTTGTGAAATGTCTCTACACATAGATGGGTCTACCTTGAATTGGCGGGAAAATGTATTTTTACTAGTGCAATGAACATCGATGGTTATTTTTATTATAAACATTATAATTACTATAATGTTATAAACATTAGTAATAACAGAATAAGATAACGAAAAATATTTTCGTAAATTAAAGAAAGGGTAAACGGCCGAGACAGGCAGTACAAGTACAAGTGTAGCCATCTATGGGTAAAAACAATTTAAACAAGTAGACTCACGTGACACCCGTCGCGAATGGGCCAGACGGTGATTTTTTTATTACTGACTTATCCTAAGCCGTACCACCGGTGTCCAAATGATACTTCCTTATAATGCCGATGCTGATAGTATAATGAGTGATAGTGGAGTGCCACTGATCATAGCTTGGGGAAAAAAGATGAGGCAGGTGATAAAATTCAACCGTAAAAATAAACAAACTAATTAACAGTTGCGTCTCTATGGCAACGTTATCATTTATACCAAGATTTATGAGATAATGTTTAATTCCCTTGCTGTTGCAGCGTGAAAAATCGATAACGTAAATTAGCCTTTTTGCGTACGTGAATGGTTAGATGAAGGTAGGAGCATGAAGCGTATATCTATCTATCTATTTATAT